GTGCGGGGAGAAGCCAGACCGGCATTCCCCAGAGACAGGACCGTGTGCGTGGACACACGCTCCACAGCCCTCAAGCCACAGTGCAGTTTTCAACGTTCAATAACTTCAGAAGTATAAACGCTACAAACTAACAAAAAAAGCCAAGTGAAAGCTCAATTATTTAAGTTTCTTCTATACACCTATGCGATACTTACTATACTTCTAAGTTTGATGAATTTTGAATAGCTTTTTTCATTTTAACTTTTGTTTCAGTCAACATTCACCATCTCCCATCAGAGGGGCTGAAAGGTTTTATAATACATGATATGCCTACAATTCAAACAGCAAATAAGCCACATCTCACAATACGCCTGCAGTCTACTGAAAGCAATTTTCACATGTGCTGCTGCTAAAACTACAAACTGCACTGCTCCTGGTCAAATTCTTAATAAAATACCCCTAGAGAGCTGCTTTTTGTTTATACCAATTCAATTTTCCCTTTCTAGATACAATCCACCCTGTTAAAATCCTTGTGGATTCTCATCTGTCTTCGACCATACTTGGGCCCCTCCCATGTGATTTCATCTACACACCATCGACCTTCTCAAATGGGCATTTCCAGCCACGCTAAACTATGCAGAATCCAAGTCAGACCCTTGGGGTGTGATTTGCAGCCAGCAGCCCCTCCCTTCAGGGACCTTATGGGCCAATTCTGATACAGATCTCTTCCAGTATCTTCCACGTCAACCTATAAAACAGTACCTTTTGAACAGGGCAGTTCAATCAATTAAAAAGTACAAGTGCCTCTATCATTCAGCCCATATACTTTCAATCTTAGTTGAAGAGATTTCAAGAGGGCTCTGTCCAATGCACTGCTGAAATTCTCAGACCATCCCACAGCATTCTTCGGATCTGCCAGGTGGGTGACTATCAATGAAAGGTAAGGGGAGGAGGCAGCCTTGTCATAGCCCTGTTGTCAGGGTATTGTACTAATTATGGTAAAGCTATAACTGTGCAAATCTTAGACAGGCCAAAACAAACAAATAGAAATGAGTTTACTTATATCTCAAGTTCAAATAAAATCTGGACAACTCCAAACAATATTTGTTGGGGTTGAACTGTGTCCCTCCCCCACCTCTCCCATCAAAACAAACAAAAAGATACGTTGAAGACCTGACGCTGGTACCTGTGAATGTGACCTTATTTGGAAATAGCATCTGTTTAGCAGATGCAACCAAGTTAAGATGAGGCCTTGCTGGATTCAGGTGAGCCCTAATCCAATACCTGGCATCCTTCCAAGAAGAGGGCAGTTTGGACACAGAGAAGGCCACGCGGAGAACGGACGCGGACACTAGACTGATGCTACGGCAAACCAGGGAGGCCAAGGATTGTCGGCAACCATTAGTAACTAGGAAGAGGCAAGCAGGATTTTTCCTTAGAACCTTCAGAAGGAGCCTAGCCCTTCCAGCACCTTGATCTTGAACATCTGGCCTCCTGAACCGTTAGAGAGTTAGTTTCTGCCGGGTTTGTTTTTGTTTGTTGAAGACAGAAGTAGTTTCCATGACTGCTGACCTTCAGTTCTTCAGATGAGGAAGAACCACTGATTGTTAAGGTGTCTGACTGCTTTGCCTTTTCAGCTTTGGAGAGATCAGGGCAAAAAACTATCAAGGAAATGGGTACTTTGTTATGACCCTAGGAAACCAATACAACACCTAAGCAAAAACACGTAACCATAAACTCATGCCTCTTAGCACTGGGATCAAGACCCCTCAGGAAACGGTAAAAAGAGAGGATGAGCGAGATTTGGAGTCCTGAGCAGGGGGCAGGCATGGGAGGGGTGAAGTAACTGAGTGAAGAAACCAGCCAAGTGGGCTTTGAGGCGGGGGAGGTGGGGGCGAACAGAAGGGGAAACCAGGAGCAGATGCCCCCCCCCGCCCCCCGGGTGTGAGGTCGGGATTCCTCCACAAAAGCCCGTCACTTTTTAATGGCAACGAATCACAAACTCATCAGTTTATCATCAATATACACGCAAAACCATGTTAAGCCTCCTGTCTCCAATTTGGCATTTTCCTTGATGACGTTTCATCGTTTCTAAATCAGACCACAAGCCACGCCGGGGAAGGATCCGCTGGCCTGTCTGTCTCTATATATAGCGCCAGGGCCGTAGCCACCATTTTCGAAGGAGCTAGGACTCCAGTGATTGATGACGATATTGCTAAAATGGTTACATTTTCAGCTGGAAGCAGGAAAGCATTTTTTTTCCACGTGAAAACTTCGGGGAGGGGGAGGCTCCCCTCGCAGTTTCTAATTACTGATCTGGCTCCACTGCAGCCCCGCGAAATAAACGTCCTTAACGGCAAGTTGCCGCCATGGAAAGACCTTAAGAGCTGTCTCCAGAAGCTTTCCCAGCAGTAATTAGGGGGATGTATTATTGCTAATTCTGAACACACTGGGAGCTGGGTTAATTTTGAGAGCTAAAATAAAAAGTGCCGCCTTGTGGCAGAAGACCACTTCCGGCGCCGTTCAGTCTAGCAGACCCTTCGGTCCGAAGACGGCCGGGCCCCTGTTGGCACTCCTTTGAGGAAGCCACTGTGGAGCAGGCCAAATGAAGCCTCGTCGTGCAAATACCGTTTAGCAAGTGCAGATAAGCTGGGCTAAATCATGCTCAGAGCACTTAAAAAAAGATTCCAATGTCAATGCACCAGCACTAGAACAGGCTGTACAAGCCACAGGGAAACCGCGGTTGTCGGCGTGTGAATTTAGTCGCAGGGTGGGTTCATCCAAGGAAGCAAAATCTCAGTTTAGATTCCCTCTCTACCTCCTTCCTCTCGTCCACGTGTTTCCTTGAGGATGGGGGAGGACACTGTTACTCAGCAAATGTGTTTCACACCAAGAAATGCTCGGGGTATATTCATCCCGGGAAAGGATGTGAAGTTCTCACTTTCTCACTAAAATAGTTCGGAGAGGTCCTCCAAAGGGCCAAGCCACACATGACGGGCACTGTCTCTGGTGCTTGTGGGCGCGCACACTGGTGTGCGTGTGGTGTGTGTGTATATATATATATACATTCTTATTAACGAGGAAGGTTTCTAAAAGGAAATCACAAGGGGTTTTCTGGTATCTTTCTGATGTACTTTTCAGAAAGCCCCACTGCCCGTCATCCCCGGTGAACACGAGTCGGCTGCAGCATCCGGGGTTGAGAGCATATTGTCAAGAGGAAAAGCCCAGCCCCAAGGCCACGCCCAGCAAGGCTGGGCCGGGGAGAGGCCCCAGGTCTACCTGGGGGCGGGGCAGAGACGGAGGGCTCGGGAACCGCAGGCCAACTCCACTGATTAGCAGCTGAGCCGGATTCCAGCTCGAGTCTGACAGGCTGCTTTGGGTATCAAAGCCCCAAGTGACACTTTCATTTCAGAACGCATCTGGTCTCTTGGACCGTTTTATCAGAAACAGCTATTTTCTTTAAATTGAAAGTCCAGGCCGTTTATTTTTCTCCAAACTGTGCTGCTGGCTCTTCTGCCTGATTCTTAATATTCACTTGTTTTTGCACAACGCAAAGCTGTTTCATCTTGAAGAAGGGGTGGGGTGGGGCAGGCCCTCCCCGAGGACCTTATATGTGTGATAGGTTTACATAAATCTTTGCCCCCAAAGGGCACGTCTATCAGAGATGAAGATGGAAGGTATTTAGAGAAAACTTACTTTAAGGGAAAGAGATACCAAATCACTCTCCCATTAAGGTTTTTGAACCAAAATAACTTAAATCTCTTCAAATGATGCATGTATATAAACTTTTATAGGGCATTTAAAATTTTCAAGACTAAGGGGCAATCTCTTTTATTCTTACCCCTCTCTATGTGCCCTAACGTAATTTTAGTTGATTTCTTTTTTTTCTTTTTTTTTTTTGCAGGGGGGGAGGGTAATTAGGTTATTTATTTGATTTTTCAGTGGAGGTACTGGGGATTGAACCCACTACGTCATGCATGCTAGGCATGCGCTCTACCACTTGAGCTATACCCTCCCCCATCACTTAAAAATAATGAAATAATTGTAGTCTGTTTAAATGCATGCCGCTGGTCTGTATATGTGCATATAAACACATGTGACTGTGCATCAGAACAGCAGCAGTACTGGTGTGGGACCCACTACGTCACATCCCTTATCCCATCATGTTAGTGAGCCAGTATTTCTCATCCACGGGGTCAAAAGTTCACTAATTTATCTGCTTTCCTCTAAGCAAGAAATTTGTTATCACTTCAGAAAGCATTTCCAACCAGCAACAATTTGAATTGTCAACAAATAGGTACCATTTCCCTAATCAAATCAGAAGTAATTTTATCCAGGAAAGGTCTCTCTGTTCAGGGCCATAATCTTCCCTGCAATGCCATTAAGATTCGAAGATGATTTATGGTATCAAAAACCATCACCTTTCACATTCATTTCCGAAGATGCATCGTTCCCTCTTCATCAACTGTCCCTTCTCTATTACAGAAAATCACATTTCATTGTTAATGGAAGGAAGCTACCCTCTTTTTTTTTTTTTTTGATCCCTCACAGATGCTAATGCTGTACAAATTCTGAACTATTTAAAGGAAAAGGATATGAAGCCAACTTTCTCATTTAGGAACTAAAGGATAAAGGAGGCCATGTGAAAGCTGAGTCTAGACACATACTCAATAATTTGATGATTACACATTTTTCAGCTATACATTTTGAGAAACATATATAATTGAAAATGTAGACATCTGTACCATGATTTTCTATAGAACATTCATTTAGTTCTGAAATGGTTATAAATTAGCCATTGGTAATTTACTCCTTTAAATGATTTAACCTTTCCAATGATCATTTCATCTGTTTTCTATATAAAAAAAAATCAAAGAAATTCGAGATATGGAAAAGCCATGTTGGTTGAGGATCTGAAACTGATTTGGTAGCTTTCGGGTTGACATAATTTTGGCCTGGTGCAGCTCATTTTGGAAAGCTGCCTCAAATTTCCCCTGGTTTTGAACTTTTTTTTTCCTTACCACTTTCATCTAGCAAGAAATCATCCTGGTAACGGAACTTCTCCGGTCCACATGCAATAAAAATGTCATCGTCACCAAAAAAGTCTTGAAGGCACATCACCTACAAGAGAAAAGCATGACACTCAGCAAGGGGTCATCAGAACAGCAATTACAACAATGCGTCTCTGCAAGTGGACATCTGCATAAAGCCACTTCCCATCTAATGGAATCAACAGGGCAACTTCTCCAGAGGAATTTCAAAAGCGGGTTTCGAGCATCTGTTACTAGTAAGAAACATGTTACGTCTCGGTGGTGCAGGAAGACGGGATAAGGAAAATAGAACCAGCAACTGTCACATTTATGACTTGATATATCAATAGGCTATGAGGTAAGAGCCCTTTGTTTTCATAACAGAGCGGATGCAGCAACATGTGATGAAGGAACGCTCCTTTACTCTTCCGAATGCAATATTCCGTGATGGCAAGAAAAGTCAGCATGTGATTTTAGCAAATGAATATGTTTTTCAGTGACTGATGCCACAGTTGCCATGCACATGATGATCACTGGGGTAATCACCTCTTTTAGACCCATGACTTCTACCTCTGGTTGACACAAAAATAGCACCCTTCATAAAAGGAATAATAGTAAGTTATTTCTGAGCTTTAGATATGGCAATAAGGCAACTGCATGCCCTTCCACTCAAACTGTGTGGAACTATAACATCCCCAGGGGCTCCCCGACTTGCAGTCACACAAAGGGAAAGTTTTAAAACAACCTTGGGATATTTATTCAACTTCTTCTCCAAAAAGAACATTGAGAGTGAAATGTCGTTTTTCAAGTACATGTGGTCAAGATAAATAATTTCAAGCATTGCTCTCTGTCTGTGGATATGTGGTGTAATATTTTTGTTCTTGTTCACAGTATGTCTGATGCCAGCAGAAGGCACTGAAAACACTGCTGATTTCTACCTATTTTCAATTTTCTTTGACTACTTGGAGTAAATCATAAAGTGGTCTACTGAAGGCACCATTCAGAGCTGTATGAAATAGACATTCTTATTTAACTGCTGCATTTTCCCTTGGATATTAGAGGACCAGAGACAAGCCTTCCTGTCTCTGATGTGAGCTATCTGTGTTTCCTATGAACCCCTCCCTTATCCTTTGGTAGTTTTATCCACAGAGCCTCTCTGGGGTTCTGCTCCCTCCTACAGCACCACCCTGACAAGTCCAAGGTGTTGTAAGACTTACAGAAGTTAAGGTGGGAGAACGCAGCATCATTTAGAGTCCCAAATGAAGTGACGTGCAGGCTTCAGATAGTTTTTCCAAATCATCACTTATTGCTGAGGTTTTGAGAATGCTAGTTCTCTAACAGTTTGATAGTAAGCATGGAGTATGAGTGAGGCACAGTCAGTGCTTATTCTGTCTGTAAAAGCTTGAAGACAAGCTTTAAAGAGGTGATTTAAAGATTTAAAGAGGGACACTGCAATCATCGAGCTAGATGGACAGAAGGTCTTCAAGAGTGTGTCGGAAGCTCTGATCGCCCACTTGGGTTATAGACAGGCCCTTTGAATTCAGAACCCACTCTCTGTTTCTCTCCTCTCTTTCTGTCCAGTTCCAACCATGACGCTGTTCATTTGTACCTTCATGACACAGCATCCCCACCCCAGCTTACTGGGTCTGCACTGGTGTCATCCCAGCCAGCTCTATACAGGCCGACTTCACTTTATGTGCATCAGTCTGCACTGTGCTGCCTCTGTGTCTGTTAGCACAAAGTATATGCATACAAAAACGATACAGTGGAATACTACTCATACAATGGAATACTACTCAGCCATAAAAAAGAATAAAACCGCCATTTACAGCAACATAGATGGACCTGGAGATTGTCATTTTAAGTGAAGAAAGCCAGAAAGAGAAAGAAAAACACCATATGATATCATTCATATGTGAAATCTAAAAGACAAAAAGAAAAGAAACAAAAAAG